TGCCACCCACTTTCCTAACCTAAGACAGCCAGTGTTGCTCTCACTAGCTCAGCCTGAAGCATGTAACTCATCACATCCTCACAACTGACTTCCTGTGTCGTGCATGTTTCCTCTTACATGTCTCCTTCTGACATGCTGTACTTTGTTCAAAAAAGGAGTGGCTTCGGTGACACATTTCCATGCCAAATCAGCGTTTGTATCAGCATTCTTTTTCTTTTCTCCTCGCTTTTGAATTAGACTGAACAAGAAATAAACTTCAAATAGTACTCCAATGAACGAAGTCCTAGGCTGAGCTGTTTGGACAAAATCAGATTTTTGCATGGATGGAAAACTGAACGGCCAGACTCCTATAGGTTTTCAAATTATCTTTAATTAGCAACTGATCAAGGCTTAAAAATTAGAGACTACTTATCAACATAGGTCAGTGAAGAAATTTCAAAATGAGATGTAATGAAAAACACAGGAGCTCAGGGATGAAGCTGCCCAACAGTGACTGAAAGGCTTTAAAACCTAATGTGGCCCCTGCCCTCCAGAGGCTCTGCCCTTAAACATCTTACATTATCTAGGAAAATACAGTATACACAGTACAGGCTTGCCTCTGGCCTTGAATTTGAGGGAAATTTAGTTCTAGGTTTGTCCTTTTTACAGTCTTTAGAAAGCCCTTTTTGCAAACTCTGTCGCAACACTCCCATAGAGGAGTAAGGAAATCGCTGGGAGATTCCAATGACCCCTGAACAGCTCCTAGCTCCAGATTAATGTTTGCCATGCACTGCCTAACACTGTCGGTTAGAGAAGTTGAAAATATTCGACTCAAAAAAGAAAACGTAACAGCTCAATGTTGATTCAATATCACAAATTCTGCTTTTTTCTGTCCAGAAGGAATTCTGCAATACTGAGGGGAAAAAGGAGAAAAAGACGGTGCCTCTTTAAAGCAGTTAGTGTTTTTGTTCATATTCTCTTACGGCTACTGTTAGATTTACCTTTTCTTCCTCACTGCTTCATTTTCTAACTTAACAGCCCATGTGAATGTGGAAGGTTAATGCTGTGCAATTACTTATTAACTTCAAGCATTTGGGAAATAAAAACACCAAACATATAATAAATAGATCTATCCATGAAAAGCCAAAGAAAAGACTTTGCATGTTAAAATTTAACTTCCTGCCACAGCATGGTCTCTGATGGCTTTCATGAGTTTCTTTGGAAGTCTACTGTCAACATCCTTCCTCAGAGGTCAATTTGATTTTACAGGCAAATTATTCTTTTGTTAGAACCTAACAACTACCGTTCCATAAATACAATTTTTTTGTTCAAAACCACATTTACTAGCTGAGAACTCACATACTATACCATCACGTTTTACTTTAATTTTTCCAAACATACTATAACCTAAGTAAAAATACAGGACTGTTATCATACAAGAAGTAACAGCTTCAGAGACCATTTAGGTCCTTGACTGCAATTGTGAATTTGTCCTGTTGAATGTCACCATTACAGAAGTTCGTTCTTCTTTCAATACTATAAAGCAATAAGGCTAATATTCTAAACTTCACTAGGTTGCTAGGCAACAGTTACAGAAAAGGAAGAAATGTGTGGAATAGTTTTGCAAAACAGAAGTACCCAGTTCTCATTTCAGTGAGCTTTTGATCCCGATTTCAAGGGGAATATGTTATTTGTTTTCTTTTCAAATGCAGGTAAAACTTAATTAAATGCAACTCATAGCCAACCTTTCCCATACATCAGAAACAATTAAAGCAATTCCAACAGAAGTACCACTAAAAAAAAAGCCTTGTAAATCATCTACTGTACCAAACACTCAAATCATAAAACACAAAGGAAATTAAAAAGAAATATACAGTATTTGAAGTTGATCATTTTTATTTGCCTGGTTTCGTGTTGCTTTGTGTATTAGGCTACCCCTTGGACACTGGGTGGAAAAACCTTTTTGAAAACGTAAAGGTTAAAATTAGCTGTAACAGGGGAGATATGATATAACAGTAACAGTAATATCTGGCGGAGTACAAATTATTTTCAGACTCACTGACATTACACAGCATTTATACAGTAAGCCTGTCTCTTACGAAGCATACCAGGAAAAAATCTCCTCCAAATGAGCCAAAAATGATAGGAGAGATCACAAATGGATATAATGAAAAGAAACAAGACTTTCATATGAGTTGTTTTTTTTACTGTGGGGCTATGATACAGGAATAGGTTGTCTACAACATGCAATTTCAAAGACCTTTATGCTAAATGCTATCACGTACAAAAGTAATGGTTGAAAAATATTATGGCTTTCAGAAAGGTCAAAATGAAAAACTAAAAGTTGTCTTCAAATGCAAGGATTTTTTTTTAAAGACATGCATTAAATCTGTTTAATCTTAAAAGACGAGTTTAGAGTAATCACATCCCATTTGAAATTTTAACACCTTTTCAATTCTGCTATTTCTTATAGTGAGGAGTGTCAGACGACCTTTTTCATTTCTGTTGTTCGCAAGCCACATCTTCCACATGACCATTTTCCCTAGGCTAGCCCTCAATTCTGTGCCTTCCAGAAGGTTCTTTATTAACAATGCTCGACAATTTTGCATAGGGCTTTTGGAATGATGATGTACAGTATTGTGTGATACAAACAGCACTCCCCAGCCCAACCAGGATTTGTGAATCAAGCACAATACCAAAATGAGAAAACAGAATTCCCTCAAAGGAAATAAAAATCAGTCATCAATGTATGCTGTGCTAAAAAAGGTTGTTATAAGAAACTTAGTGATTTGATGTGAGTGATTCAATTCAAGGTTTATTATCCCCTGGGAAAAGTGTGTTGTGATGACATAAGCTCTCCTGAACTGGCATCAGCAGAAGTGAAAAAGAGACATCTTTCCACTCCTCCGACCCAGGTTAATAATAATAATTAACATAATAATCTAATATTATATAATAATATAACTTATATAATATAATAATTTGGAAATAACTTTCCTAAGGTAAAAATGATTAATGGATTTGATCCTACAATTTCCAGTCTGCACCTTGGTGGCCTCATAATGGTGGAAAGCTAAAAAAATAATGAAATTAAAAAAACAATAACTAAAACTTGGACAAGTATTATTCCAAAAACACAGCAAACTAACAAAGAGCTGCACCACAATGTCTCCTACAGTGGATTCCCTCCCTGGGCCCACTGTACATTGAAAAACACTGGTGCAAAAACAACTCTGCAGCCTGACCTTCCCTCCCACTCCCTGAGATCCCTGTGGAGCAGCAGGCACTCAGAGGAGTAATTAGGGGCAGACTGCCAGAGCTGGAGGGCACCCATACATCATGAGCAAGCCCCGTGTGAGCACCAATGAGAAAGGCAGCCCTGATAGGGGTCTTGATCTGTCTATTTCCATCTTTCCCTCCTCCCCAGAAACAGCCCTCTTCAGTATTCATGACCTCTGTCCAGACACACTCTGAGAAGGAAACACAGGAGATCATGTTGCCCGAGGAAATCTGATGCACAGCTAACAAACAGTAGTACAAGGAGCTACAAGACGTACAAGAAATAGAGTTCTGAACTGAGCTTTACCTGAGCCACAGAAAAAATCAAAAGCATCAGGTATCAACCTAATGCCAGGCTTGCAGAGAAATTATTCTTCATGGTGATTTTTTGCTTTGCAGATATAGTTCGCTGTTGACTATAAACATTAGTACCAATTTATTCAGAAAACAAAAGCTTTTGTATAACATAGTTTAAGAATATTCATTTTTGTACAACACATAAGACAGAGGCTTTGCTAAACTTTGTCATAGTTGCTTCTCTATGATAATGGTGCATTCATTACACTGGCAAAACTCAATTCAATTAATTAGGCAGCTGTAAGCATGCGACTTCAATTAAGTACTAATTCAATTTTATCACTCTTGACAATATTATTTATCAACAAGAATCATTCGGACAGAATTACTGGTAACTGTGGCCATAGAATTCTGAACTGTTTTACCCCTATGTCTGATTCCTTCCTGATGTCGGATTACTCCCTAAAAGAAGTGCAGTGGTTGTAAGAAACATCAATGTTAACTACAAGTAAATTCTTTCCTTTGTTGTGCAAAACCGTAAGCGTGCTATAAAACAAGATTAGCAGATTTAAATACTTCATACTTCAGAAATTTAGTCTCATGTAAAAGACTACCTTTTGCAATATAACTTTTTAAGCATTATTTTCCAGTACCCTCACAATTGAAGATGTGTCCCTAATTTCCCTGGAAATGATGAAAATGTGGGCAAAGTCTGCCGCGGGAGAGAAGTTGGAGAATCTCATTGTGTCGCTATCCGTTGGGCTTGGATCACCACTGTGCCAGGACGTGCTAACTGTATGTTAGTAAATTCCAATGATACATCCAGCATACATCCAATAATACACAGTGATACATCCTGTAGGTGACCTGAGCTCAGGGCTTTTCACAGCCCCTCAAGAAGGATGATGAAGCAATATTTTCTTTGCTTGCTACCTTCTAGAGTTTCTAGAACTTTTTCATTTCATCATCTAAATTGATCTTCAAAAGGAGCTGGGAAGCAACAGAAATTACTGCTGTGCATGATTTGTAAATATACAGAACACACAGTCTATAAATCAGCTCACCAGTACCCAATTCTAACAAAAAGAAGCTTCTATCTGCTGTGTGACTATTATTGTACAAGAATGCACTTTTAGATTCTGCAGTGGTTTCAAACCCCCGCCTTTCACAGACACTGAACTAAACACCTTGCTTTTTGATTCGATTTCCTGCAATGTCAGGAGAGGTCATTTCATTAGAGGAAGTAGGTGTACAAATAAAAGAGTCAAGAGGCAGACTTCTCTTAAATATCGCCTTTAACATTTAACACTAAGTTAAGTGGGTCTGTCTGAAAAATCCTTCAGATCTGGAGGAGGATGCTTCCCACACCAAATGACCAGGACACAGAGCCAGCCAAACAGAGGGGAAGGAGCACTGAAAGAAGGATTTAAAAAGGCCATGCTCACCTTCAGTTGCTGGGCTTTCACTAGAGATTCAATTTTTGTTGCATCCATTTCCCTCAAGCATGAAGAACAACAGGCCCTGTGACAAGCAGATTCACAGCTGCTCTCATGCACTGATCACCTCTCCCTCTCCAGTGAAGAAGTGAAACGCTTTCAAAATGAGGTTACAAATTCTTTAAAAAGGGGATGGTAAACACTTACTGTAAGAGGTCACACTTTAACAGTTTAGGATCCTCTGGTGAACGAGTTTAGAGCAGGGATATTAATCCTTTAATTTTAAACATCTGCTAGGACTGCTGACTTGGGCCTTCTTTGTAATGGAGGTGATCAAATGTAACTGTTTGCAGAAGGTGTAACATACTGTTTGTAACTCAAGCAACTCACAAGTTTAGGACACTCACAAAACCAGCAGAACTGTAGCCTCAGATGTCTGTAGATTGGGGTGCAACTGATGCCTCACAGCTCTGGCATCCTGGGTTGTAATTTTTGCTTCCAGACTGGTGTCTTGCTGTGTGGAGTCTGGATGTCCTCATCATGATCACAAAGCTTGACGCTAGATGCTCCAGTTTTCTCCCAGAACTGTGCTGGGAAGATTTGACTGGCCGCCCTGAACTGTCTCTTTCGTCAAGGCTTTGCAATGGACTGACACACTTTACACCAGCAGCTACAACAGCAGCTGTGAGCTCTCAACCCAGTATGTCCGGCGTGCCGCCCACAAGTCTAACCATTCTGATAATGGCTGGGTGTCGAGCACTTGTCCCCAAAATGAGATATGAAGTAAATAGGTCTCCTAATGTAGACAAACCCCTCAGAATTCTGTAATAACCATTATCAAGTATTCGACTCACAGTACACAGCCTATACAGCTATTAATTGAATGTATACATTCCATATTAAAGCCACAGCAGCTCACTAGGCCACAGCTCATCCTGGTTCCTGTGGCATTAAGCAGACAGAGAGCACATCACTCCCTGCCGAGACATAACTCCAATCCATCGCAGGGTTTACCCACGCCCTGGCAATGCTGGTCCACATTCATACTGGAGAAACTGGGCTGAGGTAACTCTTTCAAGCTACAACAGTAGGTCTGCAGTGGGAACTGGAAACTACAAGCCATGTATTGTGAGACTAGAAACATGTACACTATGCTATGCTTCCCCTACAGAACCTATGGATCGTTACAGACTTTTACTGCTTCAAACACCAATATTCTTATTCTTATAAAGTAACCACATACAGGAGACTTAAAATGTGTACTTTGAGAAAAATTACTATAATTGCAGTAGTAGTTTAAATCAGTTTAGGAGACAATGGTGTGTGAACCGGAATAGCTTGTCCGATTACATTAAATAGTACAGTTTTATAAAAAATAATAATAACCAGACATTTCAAACCAAGTGCACATTAGTTGGAACTCAATCAGAAACATCTACTTAAAATTGTACAGGAGCAAAGGCTTCCCTGAACTCCTAATGTGACAGTTTAAAAGTTGAGAGTTTTAAGTAATTTTTTTTTGTTTGCTTTGTCTCTGAGCCCTTAGTAATTCTCACATGGATTGTAATTACAATTGATTTAGCAACTGTCACATGTCACACACTTCACTTTTCCCTTTGATGGCCTGTGTGCAAAGCATGGATCATGCACGAGGCAAAAGAATTTATGACGTAACTTCCATCTCTGTAAAGCCCTTGCGACAGAAAAAAATATGGAAACAACCCTGCCAGCATAACTCACAACTAACCAGTTTTCTTTACTCCACATCACATTAAATTCTTAATTTCCTATTTATCTGTTTAGACAAGGTAACAGGTCTTCTGTCCTGCGGACGTGACAAAGCTTCTTTAACAGGGTTTCAGTATTGCTTTCAAGTTCTTTCTCAGAGATCCTTGCTTTTTTAAAAAGAAGGGAAAGTGTGAAGTTGCACAAATAGTATGTCACTATGTCCGCCATACAGCCACATGTAACTCGTTCCATCACCATAAGGTGCAGTAAGGAGTAGCTTTCTCCAATTACCTCATATGGTCTAGACTGCCCAATATACCTCTTTGACACTGCTGAAAATAGAACACTGAAGTTCAATAGAAATTCAATTCTTGAATACTTTCTAATAACAGGCATTATTACCTCTTACTGTGCATTAGATAGCTGTGTGTCTAAAACACAATTTAATATAGTGCTGAGACTGTACTTGCCCTTAATCTGCAGCTGAGACACTATCAGAGCTGTTTCTGGACTGCAGTCTATTCTGTCTTCAGGAGCAGCACTGAACGGTTAACGATCTATGACCAGTCAACATTTCCTCACAGGGCAGATGAGTCCAGACACTACTTGAGGGGGAGGGGGCGTATTTTCCTACAAACCGAACAGGCAGTCATTTTCCTAGTACTGCAAACCAGATTATTTAACGGCCAGTCCATAAACAGTGCTCGAGAAATAAATGTCCTTTTCCTTTAATGTGCTTAACTTCCGTAACCTGCAAAGTTTAGAACATATGGCAGGAGATGCAGTAGGCTCTCTTGGCATTAGAAGGGTCTGTTTTTTATGAGGAACTTTTACGGGGAACTGTCTAGCAAAATCAGGACCATTTCTGCACCTGGATTTAATCAGAGGGCTGTGTTCAATCCAGAATCTCTGTGGGAAGTTTCTGCAGGTACCTGTATATGGGAATTTTTTCTGATTGAAAAGTGAATTACAAGTCAAAAAAAGAAATTCAGTACAGATTTGCAATGATACATATTAAAATGATATTCTACTCTGCTTAAAACTACATAATCATATGACAGTCACATGAATATAAAATTACGTGCCAATAAAAGTTACAGCAGACTAGTAAGCAACTGCTGCTCTTTCATTAAAGATCCAAACCCTCACAGATTCCTTGTTAACACTTCAGCAAGCTTTCAAATGCTCACTTGTGGCAAACCTTCTGACAAACAAACCATTCAATATCTGTTTCCAAAGTCTGGATTAGAATTGGATTTTACATTTTTTTCTCAATTTCCCCCACAAATAAATGCATGATTAACAGCCACCAAAAACAAAGTTTTAAAGCACTATTTATATGTATTTACACTGTTAGACTATACCAGGCATTCTAACTCCTGCTTCTGGAGAAACACTGCATGATGGTTTACATTCCACTTGAGCTCTAAATCTCCAGTGTTAATTGATGACTTAATTGATCTGCTTACTAGTTTGTTTTTTATTTAACTTGTTTCTTCAGCCCTGAACGTAAAAAATGGCCTAATCCCAGGGTACTGTTTCCAACAACTTCAACACAGAATTTTACACAGCTATTCCTCAGCTTGCTGGCTGCCATTTCTGACTAAAGGGCTCTCACAAGCTGATCACATCTTGATGAACAGACACAGGCAGGAATAACAATGTATCAGCCGTATACAAGTAGCAGTTACTTCCTTCTGCAGGGAACCAGTTCGGTATATTTTGGATAACTCACCTGAATAAAGTCAGTTCTGAAAATCAGAAATTAGTACAGAATTTATACCAATTACAAATCCCATTGGACCTTTCAAGCAAATTTACAAATATACCTTAAACAGGAAAGTGGAATCATTAAGATCTCGATGGGAACAAAAACCAGAAGACAGTATTCCGCCACAGAAACACATTTTTTTTTATTTATCCAATAAAATGTGATTAATGAGGTGGTTAATGCCTGAGCTCCAGGGTTTTAAAACCCATCGGCACTAGACTTCTGCACTCTCGATGCTCTTATTCTGTAACAGTTTTGTTACTTTTTGTCCATCACATACATCATTAATCATATGGACTCCTTAACCGCAGGCACGTGCTTCCAAAAGAGGAACCTAAGTCATGGTTTAAATACCAATCCTACTAGTGATACATTTTCTGAAATACAGAACATGCAATAGCCTAAAGACAAATTTATGACTTTGTCATAGTCCTATTTCCACTGATAATGGGAGGGGGGAAATATAAATGAAATAATTATATAATAAAAATTATAATAGCAAGAACATTTCAGTCCTACTTCCACTGCAAAGACAGCAATTTTTCTAAACTTCAATGCACAAATGTCCTGCTGGCCAAGGAGTAGGTTAGTGAAGCAGTTTCTAACCAATTAAAATTAGCCAACTGTAACAGCTACACAGTCCATTCTAAGAAATCTAAATTTATCGCACTAGAATAGTTGACATACTGAACCTCTGAAACCTCTGCTTGAAGTGAGAAACACTTTGCACAGCCTGTGATGAATGAATTGATATCTGCAGTCCACATGAAAGAACGTTTGACTTTTATTAGTTGTAGTACATTGACTCTGATGAGGAAAGTAAAAACTCCTACACCTCCTACAATCTTTTATGAAAATGATTTTTATGTCTGTCTCAATATAGCAGTTCAAACATTGCTCTCCAAAATTACAATGACTTCTTACAAGAAGATAAAAATGGTTATAAACAACAGGAGGCCATCTTGGTTATCTGATCACTAGTGGCGAATTCTATCAGCCATTTCTTGAAGAAATCTCAGCTTCTACAAATGGCTAGGAGAGACTCCTATTCCAGACTCCCACAACCCTCTGTGCAAAGAAGCACCTCCTTTTCCCCAGTCTTACTGCACTTCATTTTAGTATCTAGTCAAACAGTAACTTAGCAGAGGAAGTACACTTTCATCAGAAATTAATCTGAATTTTCTCTCCTGCCTAAAAACACCCTTACTGAGTTTATAAAAATAGTATTCTGAAGGCCTCTCTCTGCTAAGTCCACATTTCCCTCTCACCAAAAGGTTATCTTACTGAAGGAATAACAATGAGCTGACATTTTAAAGGCCGTCTAACATTTTAGTTACTTGAATTATAGTTTAGTAACATACAAACAAAATCCAATACTGGGAACAGATTCTTTTCAGATGCTGCGAGTACTAACATTTTTTATAAACTTATTCTTATATGCAGAGCATAATATATACCACATACCAAGACAATAATATTTAGTCACAGCATAAGTCTTTAAACAGTGTTTACATTGTAAATTTCATATATTAATTCATAATAATCATTCCTTACACCTTCTGGACACTCCACTCAAAATGCTTGAATGGGCACTCCCATCCACCA